TTGGTAAGTTAAAAAAAAATATTATGTAGTGCAGCCTTGGCTTAATTTTTTTTTTTAACATACCAGCCGTTTTCCACCAAGGCCGGGTGACCTGAAAAGAAGAAAGCAATAAAGTTTATCTTTTTTTTATACATTTAGTAATTTATACAGAAGGGGTTACTAGCCCCTTGCTTCCAGTATTTTAGGTGCCTCTTACAACACGCATGGCTTACAGAGGAAAGATTCTTTTCCACTTCCCCATGTCTTAAATATACACAATACAGTGGACCCCCGCATAACGATTACCTCCGAATGCGACCAATTATGTAAGTGTATTTATGTAAGTGCGTTTGTACATGTATGTTGGGGGGTCTGAAATGGACTAATCTACTTCACAATATTTCTTATGGGAACAAATTCGGTCAGTACTGGCACCTGAACACACTTCTGGAGTGAAAAAATATTGTTAACCGGGGGTCCACTGTATATCATCATTATACATACCATTAGTTTATTGAAAAAACTGCAACAAAAAACATTAGGTGTCATTAAACTAATCAGAGTGATTAAGAAAGGCCTTTATATACATACAGTATCCTTTTTTCAATAGAAGTGATTAGAGTTCTTCATTTCTTCACTTCACAACTTGAATTTTCTTGTAATACAGTCAATTGTTGCCTTCAAGAGTGGCTTCTTGAAGTAGGTGAAGACTGTTAATCTGAGAAATTACGGCCTGTTTTGCCCCTCCGGGAAACATGATGGTCTTTAGGCTTTTGACAGGAAATTATTTTTATTTTAATTATGAAATGTTCTTTATGAATTGAGTGGTGAATTGTAGTAGTATATTTGAAAGGGCCTAATTTTGTAATCTGCTTGTATGTGAGATTACGCGTTGTATCACTGCTCTTTTTTTTTATGAGCTTTTTTTTTTCTAAAACAAATGCTGTGTTTATAAGACTCCTATCTTTTTTGAGATGACTTTTGCTATTGTAAGATTGCTCGTTTTTCTAATATGACTTTTTTTTTTTTTTTTTTTAAGAGAATTGCTGTTACAGATGGATCAGCATTAGTGTTCTACTAGCTAGTAAACTAGGTAAAATTGTTTTCTGTGGAGGAACCCCTCTTGTTACTAGTTAGAAATAGCACCAAGCTAGACTAATATGCCCCCCACCACTCTCCTCATTGGTGATCTTCTGCACCAATGTTGGGTGGGTGTCTTGTCTCTTGTGAAAGGCTCTTCATTCAAGGGATTGGATCTGCTCTTCTCCTTCAGATCAGACCTGATTGCCCTCCATAAACAAATAATTACTGTAACTAACTAAATACCAGTATTGAAAAGTAAAAACTTGTATACAAGTTAGGGACTTGCCACCTTCATGCTGGGTAATTATCCCAAGTTTCATATCCCAAGTAATTGCTTTTGCACCATCGTAAAGTCGAAATATCATAAGTCAAACCTTTGTAAGTCGAGGAGCACCTGTATGTCAATCGTCCTTTCTAGGGATGGATGTAGTTAACGATTTTCATTATCACACATTTATTTATTAGCATTCTTTAACTCATTTTATTATGGCATGCCTCATTGGTGGCACGCATGTATTTTACTGGAAGACGTCCTAGTCCATTTTTATATTTTAGGTATTGCATCAAATAGAAAGGGAAGCCATGGTTAGTTGGATGGAGGCCATTTCCTGTTTATTACTTTTGAGCATTTTTTTAATAACTTTTATTGCAAGAATGCTTATTTACAAAGCTCTTGCCTTCACCTTGGATTAGAAAAACTCTTGGAACTCATCAAAGGTATTGATCCTGGTACAAACAGCACCTCCCAGACCTTATTTATGCATAATTATATTAATCAACTAATAAACATCTAATTAGAATACTGATATGGAATTTTGCAAATGATGATCTCGTGAATGTGTTGGACTTACTGTACCATAATGAATCAGCAATTATGAAATTTGCATTTTCAATTTTTGTACCCTAGTGAAAGTTAAGAAATTACATGTACCTGTGTCTTTGCTTAGTCTACTACATATACATACATTACACAATGTACTTTGCATTGAACACAGTGAGAAGAGGCATGTATTTATTTCATTAATATCAAAAATTTGCTTGCATAGCTTAATGCTTATTAAAACAAATCGCGCAAGCGCTTTTTGCATTATTGACATTCCTCGAGTCAAGTGTCAAATAATTATATTTTAGTTTTCGTTTTAGATTTCCATTGCCATTTTTCCTTAATTGTTCATTAGATAATGATAGCATGAGAAAAGTTTTCTACAGTAGCTACAAGGACTTGTAACAAGGATACCACAACGATAATTTTGGTGATGACTGGTAAATAACAACAACCGTGTTAACTAGGATATAAGAACTTCAGTGAGCTGTTAACTGACCCCAAGCTAACATATGGGAGACAAAAAATAATTAAACTTTAGAAAAAGTATAAACCTACTCTTCTTTCTTTCTTTCAACACACCGGCCGTATCCCACCGAGGCGGGGTGGCTCAAAAGGAAAAACGAAAGCTTCTCCTTTTACATTTAGTAATATATACAGGAGAAGGGGTTATTAGCCCCTTGCTCCCGGCATTTTAGTCGCCTCTTACAACACGCATGGCTTACGGAGGAAGAATTCTGTTCCACTTCCCAATGGAGAATAAACCTACTCTTTTTTTTTTTTTTTTTTTTCAACAAGTCGGTCGTCTCCCACCGAGGCAGGGTGACCCAAAAAAAAAAAGAAAGAAAATCCCCAAAAAGAAAATACTTTCATCATCATTCAACACTTTCACCACACTCACACATTATCATTGCTTTTGCAGAGGTACTCAGAATACAACAGTTTAGAAGCATATACGTATAGAGATACCCAACATATCCCTCCAAACTGCCAATATCCCAAACCCCTCCTTTAAAGTGCAGGCATTGTACTTCCCATTTCCAGGACTCAAGTCCGACTATGATCTTTTATAAAATTTTCTTTGTTGATAATTTGGCATATTTCCTCCTCTCATTCTCTTCCCTCTTCCTGAGCTGAGTCACTTGTATGGTGGGAGAAGTCTCCTCTCAGCACAGTCTTTTGATAAAGAAGTCAGTGAGTTTAGGGCTTTTCATGAATAAAATAAATACATCAGTGACTATTTTTTTATATTTTGTGGTTTTTCTAGACAACTTTTTTAGTTTTGCACCAAGTTATCCCATGCAAGATTTCCTTTATGCATTACAGTTGTTTCTCAGTTTTATATACATGCATACAAAATATATTCCCTGATAAATGGTAACTCATCCCTCAGAATGACTTTAAATAGCAGTGTTTACTTATTCATATCTTAATATTTTATGTAAAATACAAATTGCTGCTGTAAATTGCCATTTGTAGCTACAGGAGCAGAACTAAGTATCATTTGTCCTGTTTTCAGTGTAATTAATGTAGCAAAAATACAGCAAGTAGTTATAGCACTTACTACCTGTGACTCCCACGGTAATAAACAATTCATATCGTGTAAACATTATCACTGTTTCCCGCATATGTTGACTGCTGATGCAGAAAAAAACTAATTTGCTGCTATCCATGATGACTGAAAGTATACCCCAAATTTATTCCTTGGGTTATGCAAATATCTTATTTTTTTTTAATGAACCAGCCATATCCCACCAAGGCAGGGTGATCTAAAAAGAAAAACGAAAGTTTTTCTTTTAAAATTTAGTAATTTATACAGAGAAGGGGTTACCAACCCCTTGCTCCCAGTATTTTAGTTGCTTCTTACAACACGCATGGCTTATGGAGGAAGAATTCTTTTCCGCTTCCCAACAGAGAAATACATATCTGATTATTACAATGAAATAAATCCCTTTCCCCTCATCCATCCCATCCTTTCATCCTATCTTCCCCATTTCTTTCCTTCATCCCTCCTGTCTTTTTTCCCAGTCATACGGCTTAGGTCGACTTATGGCTTGTAATATACAATACCTCTCTTACTGAATTTCATTGTTACTAGTTAAATGCTACTTAATTAATCTCATACTTAGTGTGTATATCTTCACAAGGTTTTGAATTGCTTATGATATCCTACATTCACTTCTGATATAGTACTGATATAGTATTGTACTTCCCCAGACTGTCTTATCCTCACATGAAACTGATGTGACCTTGATATTTATTTTTGTCATTCCTTTGAAGAGTAGAAGTCACAGTACTGTGGCTGTAACAACTCACAGTTTGGAAAAGGATATATTCAGAAATGTTTTGGTTCTCCCTGGACCATTGTCCCATACCCTATTATGGACCATTTGCGACTTGACAATGACCCAGGATGACCTGAAATGTCATCTAAAGCTTGCTCTCCAAATTGTGTGTCACTTTTGAATCATTCCTATGGATTTTTCTGCTAACATTTTTATGATCTTAATAGTTTGTCAAGTTAATTAGCAGAGGAGGATATAAGGACATACACTAATGATTAGTACGGTTGAAGACTATTTTTCAAAGGCAATTTTAACTAATAAACGAAGTATCACAGAAACATTTGGTGTACACCTGTAAAATTTGTGTATGTCACTTGCATCATGTGCATGATCTACTTTTATACCATTATAAAGGGTGGAGAGGAAAGTACTTCAAATATGTATACTAAAAAATAATTCAGGTTAGCATTTTCTTGAAAATCAGATAAACTAAAAGAGACAGAGGTGGCATGTGTAAATGTATACTGCTGTTAATGTAAGATATGAAATACTGAGATTCTTAAACTTTATGTCAGAATTAGCAACATCATAGTTTAGTTTCTACATTAGTAGTACTACCTCACCACAGGTATGTGACATTACTACATTAAAGGTATTAAATGTTAAACAATTAGGCTTTGTTAATGAAGCTTTGTTCCTGTGTGTTAAGATTCCAATATAAAACTGTATTTCAATTCATGAAAAATATTACCAGTGCCAGAAGGATAGGCTTAAAATTTCCAAATGTTATATGCATTGATTTAGGTTATTTTAAATGATTTTTGTTACAGGGAACAGCAAGTGACTTGGTAGTACAAGTTGTCCTGATCGCAGAGAGTATGCGATTGCAAGCAATGATGGCAACATACGGTATCCAGACCCAGGTGGGTTTGTATTTTCTTCATAATGTTAGACAAAGTGATGTGGTAAAAAATAAGGGATTGAGCTTGCTATATGTATTCATATGTGGGTTATATGAGTAATATTTTTTTTTTCAACATATCAGCCATCTCCCACCGAGGCAGGGTGACCCAAAAAAAGGAATAAACACTTTCACTATCATTCAACACTTTCACCATCTTTCACACATAATCACTGTCTTTGCAGACATGCCTGAATACGACAGTTTAAATGTCACTCCAAACAGCCAATATCTCAAACCTTTCCTTTAAAGTGCAGGCATTGTACTTACCACCTCCAGGACTCACAGTCCAGCTAACCGGTTTCCTTGAATCCCTTCATGAAAGATTACCAACGCCGCCACGTGGCGGCGTTGAGAATCATTCTGAAATTCGAAACAACACAGGCCTCAAGGGTTTCGGATAAAGGGATGTACATCTGTAACACATCAGTCATTTCCCACCAAGGCAGGGCGGCCCCAAAAAATGAAAAACTTTCATCATCATTCACTCCATCACAGTCTTGCCAGAGGTGCTCTTACACTACAGTTATAAAACTGCATCATTGACACCCCTTCTTCAGAGTGCAAGCACTACTTCCCACATCCAGGACTCAAGTCCGGCCTGCCGGTTTGAGATATTGAAGGCATTAAAATTAACCACTGTGGTAAATACAGTATGTGAGGCCTCTTATTTTGTCTTCCAAGAAATTGCCTTTTGTTGAAGAAACCTGATGCTTATGTATTCTGCTGTATAAATTTAAATAACATGGGTTGTTTGTAATATACAGTAATTAGGTGCTGTTTCTGTGTGCATAATTTTTGTCCAGTGAGCTTGTGGAAATATTACATTAGTGCTAGTACTGATTTAGGAGAGTAGGAAATTAAGGAAGAAAATGAAAAATTTGGAGAAAAAGTGCACAATTCAAAATGATGGGACAGGACAAGAAATTGAAAATTTGGATTGACATTTTCTTGTAAAGCATAATAGTTACCATTAAACTATTTCATTCAGAACACCCCTCTAAAATACTTTTATTTTCTTGCCACACTTCTATCAGTACTGTATTATAGTTTTAAACCATTCCTTTTCCTATCCTAGTCATCTTTATGATTTCAAGAATACTAACTTTTTTTGTTATAATATTTTTCAGACACCACATGAGGTAGAGCCAGTGCAGATTTGGCCGCCTAGAGAACTAGTTAAAGTTTACCAGAATCTTGGCGTCAGCGAAAAATTAGGTCTCCAGGGTCGTCCAACTCGACCCATTGGTGCGTTAGGGACAAGCAAGGTAATGCCATGATAATCTTGTGATGGTCATCCAATGGAACCTTATCATGACAGAATGAAGAGTAACCTTTCTAGACTCTAGACTCAATTTTAAAATGAATTTGTTTGTACTTGCTGTTGCTAACAAGATGACATGTCTATGCTTTATGTTACTCCATGATATTGGACTGTAATGTACTACTGTATGTAGAATGGTAGTTTATAAAAATGAGTAAAATTTGGGATACTTCGTCATCTCTCATGTGAACAAGTTACAGTATTAGTTACACAAGAATTACATATAAGGAAAAATTACCAACAGATTTTGTAAATGTTTTGATATGATAGTGTGTTATAAAGTAACCTTGAATGCTAAATTGTGTCCTTTTCTGGGTGATTGTTTTGGAGATGGATTTTTCATACTGGCATATCCTTGTAATCCTTGCACATTTTGGCATGGAAACAACAAATAATACAGCCCACTCCTAATACATATATATGTATATATGTCAGTAGTATATGTATTTACCACATGCCCATACATAACCAGAAAATATTATGAATGCTCACACTTCCCAGAGAAAGCATGTACTGTGGATTTTGTAAGTTATTGTTCGCATTTAGTGAATAATTTTGTTAGGTATGAATCGGTTTGACAATTAAAAAGTTTAACGTAAGCTAGCCGAGTAATCATATTTTTTCAGAACGTATCTAGAAGATGTCTACAGATCCCTAAGAAATTCAGTTTAATATTTTAGCCTAAATATTATTGTTATGTGACATACTGTGACACTGATATAATCCTTTTATAAAACTGCTATTTTATAAAGATAATTTTCTTAATGATGATAGTAAAATATGCATCAGAATACTGAAATCTATTATGTACTATTAGAGTGCAGTACAATACCATGCTTTTTTGACAGATATATCGTGTATGTGGCCAGACAGTGCTGTGCTATCCTCTGGTGTTCGAAGTTAGTGACTTTTACCTCTCTCATGATATGGCTCTTCTTATTGACGACATTAAAACAGAACTGCACTTTGTTGGAAAATATTGGAGGTTATCAGGTCGCCCAACAGTTTGCATTCTCATAAGGGAAGAGCATATGAGGTATGTAAAGATGGGTTTCCTACAGATATATGGGAGGAGATTCAGGAAAACTGGTTAGCCAGACTTGAGTCCTGGAGGTGGGAAGTACAGTGCCTGCACTCTAAAGGAGGGGTTTGGGATATTAGCTGTTTAGAGGGATATCTGATTTGTTATATCTGTGCACCTCTAGCAAGAGTGATAGTGTGAATGATGATGAAAGTGTTTCTATTTCAGGTCACCCTACCTTGGTGGGAGACACCAAGCATGTAAAAAAAAATCTGGGAGGGAGCAAGGGAAAAAAATTGCCATGACAATTAAATTCATAATAGCCTTTCTTGGATCTGTTTGCAAAATTTCTCCAGTCATGAAGCCTTTTCTCTTGAGTTTTGATGTACTTGGCTCAGACTGTGCTATTTTAGTTACTGTATATGTATTCTTTCTTGAATCCTTCCTCTGTAAGCTATGCGTGTTGTAAGAGCCAATTAAAATACTGGGAGCAAGGAGCTAGTAACCCCTTTCTGTATAAAAAGAAGAAAAGCTGTATAAAAAAATACTTTTTTGAGTCACCTTGCCTTGGTGGGAGGCAGCTGGTATGTTGAAAAAAAAAATTCTTATTTTCTAGGGATGTGCACTTTCGTGAGCTACTGGATTTATTAGCAATGCTGAAGACTGGATACTGCGACGGCCTCAAAATTCGTACCGGCAGACTGCAAAACCTCATTTCATCCTCTTGCATAGGTAACTATATTCTTGTGCATCATATCATAGGAAGAAATAAACACATGCAATTTCTCAGATTATCCACTATGAATTATGCTCATTAAAATATACATACTAAAATTTAGAGAAAGTCAGTTTTTTGTATTTCTGTTTTAGGGTTTCCATGGTAATCAAAGATTTACATTACAAGCTGTTGGAGTGTGAGCAGGGCAATATTTAGTGAAGGGATTTGGGGAAACTGTTTTTTTTTATATAGCTGGACTTGAGTACTGGAAATGGGAAGTACAATGCCTGCACTTTAAAGGAGGGGTTTGGGATATTGGCAGTTTGGAGGGATGTTATATATCTTAATATATGCTTCTAAAATGTTGTATCTAGGCACCTCTGCAAAGACACTGGTTATATATGAGTGAGGTGAAAGTGTTGAATGATTATGAAAGTATTTTCTTTTTAGGAATTTTCTTTCTTTTTGGGTCACCCTGCCTCGGTGGGAGACGGCCGACTTGTTGAAAAAAAAAAAAATATTTTCTTTGCTTACTGTGCATGTTACATGTTAATTGTTGCATAGTTCTTGCTTCTATATAAGATTTTTTCCTCTTCAGAGCATCTGGACTTCATGAGTACCATGAATATTGACCTAGATATTACACCTTTTGAGCAGCTTCAACATGCCAGTATTGGGTATCAGTCTCTCACAGATGTTCCAACTGCCATCACTTACTCTGAGGATTCAATGAGCTTTAAGGTAAGATAAAACAGAAATTGAGAAAGTAAATTAATTTTAAATAGTGATAAAAAGACTCACGAAAACAGCTTTTATAGAGGTGCACAGTGTTTTGTTCACACTTACTGTCATAGCACGTGCTTATGAAGTACCTTTTTAATAGAATGCTACTAATATTTGTGTTCAAAAATATTCGAATGTGATCTTGCCTGAGTTTACTCACCTTGAAAGTTTTAAAGTAGTGACTGAGGCATGAAAACTTTTCTGTTCAGAGATTTACATGACTAAGAGAAAAAACAGGGCATTTAAGGTATGATAAAGTACAGTGAACCCCCGACTTACGATGGCCTCAACCTATGATAATACCAACTTACAATGCTTGTCAGCGTAAAAATTTGACCCCGACCTACACTGAAAAACTCTGCTTACATCATTCGTCCCGAACGCGGCCGTCTGGTCTGTCTGGCCTGAGCGCCTCAGCCGAGCTAGTGTGACATTGTTTACAAGCCAGGGCGGATGGTTGCACACATACATTCGATAAATTTTGTATTATTCCAGTGTTTTTAGTGCTTGTAACTGCTATATAAGCCACCATGGGCTTATCGAGAATACCGAGAAACAATTAACCTCAGAGGGTTAGCCACCCAGGATAACCCAAGAAAGTCAGTGTGTCATTGAGGACTGTCTGACTTATTTCCATTTGGGTCCTTAACCCTTTGACTGTTTCGGCCGTATATATACGTCTTACGAGGTACCGTGTTTGACATATATATACTCATAAACTCTAGCGGCTTCAAATCAAGCAGGAGAAAGCTGGTAGGCCCACATGTGAGAGAATGGGTCTGTGTGGTCAGTGTGCACCATATAAAAAAATCCTGGAGTACGCAGTGCACAATGAGAAAAAAAAAACTCCGACCGTCGTTTTTTTTTTTAATTAAAATGCCGACTTTGTGGTCTATTTTCGTATAGTATTTATGGTTGTATTCTCGTTTTCTTGGTTTCATTTGATAGAATGGAAAACATATTATAGAAATAGAGGTGAATTTGATTGATTTTACTATAAAAAGAATCTGGAAATAGAGCTCAAAGTTGGGGAAATGTTTGATTTTTGCTGATGTTCAAAAGTAAACAAATGATGTCATTGTCCAATAAATGTCCAACTAGCCATCCTAATATGCAGTCATGAATGGGTTGATGTTATTTATACAATTATTACAGTATTGCAGTAGTCTGCGTAACAGTAAATCTTCTACTTTTTGTTTGAATAAAAATTCAAAATAGAAAGCAAGAGTAATATCAGAGGGGCCTGGAGACATGACTGATGAACAAAGAAAATGTTATTTTAGAGCCAGGAATGTCTGCATTGTTCATTCTGGACCTTATTTTGAAATTGTCATATTTTTTAATTTTCGTGAAATTGGCCAAATTGCAAATTTCTGACCACGTTATTGAGTAGTTGAAATTGGTAAATGGGCAGTTTCTTGTACTCAATCGATAGAAAAAAACGGAGTTCTAAAGAAATAGCTGTAAGTTTGGTCAACTGGAACAATGGAATTAGCCGAAAATAGGGCTCAAAGTTTGCAATATCACCGATTTGTAAATATTGCCGAGGTCGCTAACTTTGCGAGAGCGTAATTCCGTCAGTTTTGCATCAAATTTCGGTTTTTGGTGTAATTACAATTGGGAAAAGATTCTCTATCATTTCATAAGAAAAAATAATTTTTTTTTTTTAAATTTGCGGCACCAGGAGACACCTCAGGATTGGGGGTTGCGACAGTCAAGGGGTTAATCTTGTGCCCCAGGATGCGACCTGCACCAGTCAACTAACACCCAGGTGAACAGAAAAAAATACTTGGAACTAGTGCTCATATAGGTGAATTTAAGGCCAACAAAGGTTGGTTTGAGAGATTTAAGAATCGTAGTAGCATACACAGTGTGATAAGGCCTGTTCTGGAAGAAAATGCCAAACAGGACCTACATTACTCAGGAGGAAAATGCACTTCCAGGACACAGTGTCTCATCACTCATCACCACATCTTCAATAAAGGTAAGTGTCATTTATTCTTCACTTAGTACACTAGTACATGCACAATATATATTGTGCATGTATCCTTCTTTTTGTGTGTAGAAAAATGTATATTTCATGTGGTAAAAAAATTAATTTGATTTCCCTTATTTCTTATGGGGAAAATTAATTCGACTTGTGATAATTTCGTCTCACGATGTGCTCTCTGGAAAGGATTAATATCGTAAGTCGTGGGTCCACTGTACTCCCTTGTCTAGAGAAGATTGTGTAGTGAGATGTGCATGGCATGAAATATGCCATGTAGGGTATTTTATAACGTGAAGTGGCATAAAAGTCCTATTTCACGAACCTAACTTCCAGGTTATGTGAAGTCTTTTCATAATTAACTTATTCAAGTGACTCTAGGAAACCAGACGTGCTCATGTATATGTATATAATAGGGAGGAAGGTAGCACATGAGATGATGCTTGTTCCTTTTCTTGAATACAATAAAGGCAAAGGGCAAGGCTAAATTAAAGTCCTCCCCTATGTTCTGAGGAATAATGTCTGTAGTCATTATTAGAGCTGCTGCTCAACATTCTTCTGGTCTTTAAAGGGATTCTACATTGCCAATAAGATGAACACAGCAGTGTTAGGGGTGACTGACAGTTGGCACTTTTTAAATTTCCATTTGGAATGTAATTCATATCTATCTTTCGATGCACCGGCATATCCCACCAAAGCAGAGTGGCCCAAATAGAAAAACAGTTTCTCTTTTTAACTTTAGTATTGTATACAAGAGAAGGGGTTACTAGCCACTTGCTCCCAGCATTTTAGTCGCCTTGTACAACATGCATGGCCTATGGAGAAAGAATTCTGTTTCACTTTCCCATGGAGATAAGAGGAAATAAACAACAAGAACAAGAACTAGTAAGAAAATATAAGAAAACCCAGAGGGGTGTGTATATATATGCTTGTACATGCATGTGTAGTGTGACCTAAGTGTAAGTAGAAGTAGCAAGACGTACCTGAAATCTTGCATGTTTATGAGACAGAAAAAGACGCCAGCAATCCTACCATCATGTAAAACAATTACAGGCTTCCATTTTACACTCACTTGGCAGGACAGTAGTACCTTCCTGAGCAGTTGCTGTCTACCAACCTACTTCCTATAATTCATATCTCTTTTATAAGTTATTACTGAGGGTTGAGTTACTAAAATGAAATTCAGCATTGGTATTTTCCTCACAGAGGCACATGTATGGAACATAGTAGGATATAGTGTTGTTCATGTCTGTGCACCTCTGGCATGATAGTGATAGTGTGAATGGTGGTGAAAGTGTTTCTTTTTTGGGTTACCTTGCCTTGGGAGACAGCCAGCATGTTAAAAAAAATAGTCTTGTAGTATTAAGCGACAAGGAATAAGCCCTTAGTACGGGTTGTGATGGAAACCATGACTCTGTGGACTCAGTCTCATGTTCATCCTCATTCATTGGGAAATGGTGGGGGCAAGAATACTTAGTTTTAGCCACAGTCATTGGGAAATTATGCAGACTTGAGAATGCTTGTTTAGTCACAGTTATTGGGAAATTGATTAAGGTTAAAAGGTTTGTAATTCCACAGGATATGGGATTGCAACCTACTTCAGAAGTGCTTAATGTGCTGAGATCAGTTTCAACTCTACATGGTCAGACTCAGCTGCTGGGAATTCTTCTTCGTCGGGAAGGTCCAGACTTCCAGGTTGATGGTGTTTCAGGTTAGTTATATGGTGGGAGTTTACTATGTTCATATAGCTTTGTTTAAATATACATTGTGTAAAAATAAATAGATATGCTAGAAAAAGTTTTAATGTGTGATGACTTGTATGGTAGCGAATTTGATATTTATTGTCTGTATATATTCGAGACATAATAGGCGAGTAATATTTCAATTAGTGTACAGCAGGAATTTATATTATCTGAGTAGAAAAAACACTTGAAATTTTGTTACCAAGGTGTTGCAAATACCTGCTAAATTGTTTGTTAGTGATTAGAAATGATTACATGATTTTGTTCTAGCTCTGAAATATTATATTGAAACATGGAATAAACTGAGTTATTCTAAAATTTAAGTCTTGATAAGTGAGATACAGTACTTAAGGAACACACAGGTAAGTAAGGAGGAATGAGCAATATATAAGTGTATGAAAGATGAGGAGTGTGTTTCAGGTGAGTCATGGGAGACACTATCATTTGAAAATCAAGAGACAGATGACAGACTTGTTTCCATGACTGGAACAATACACATACAACCTGCACATGGAGAACCCTTGGCACTGCATATAGAAACTAGACCAGTTTTCTCTTAAAGGCTTTATACCTTTGTTTTGGTAATTTTTCTTATTATCACACTGGCCGATTCCCACCAAGGCAGGGTGGCCCGAAAAAGAAAAACTTTCACCATCATTCACTCCATCACTGTCTTGCCAGAAGGGTGCTTTACACTACAGTTTTTAAACTGCAACATTAACACCCCTCCTTCAGAGTGCAGGCACTGTACTTCCCATCTCCAGGACTCAAGTCCGGCCTGCCGGTTTCCCTGAACCCCTTCATAAATGTTACTTTGCTCACACTCCAACAGCACGTCAAGTATTAAAAACCATTTGTCTCCATTCACTCCTATCAAACATGCTCATGCATACCTGCTGGAAGTCCAAGCCCCTCGCACACAAAACCTCCTTTACCCCCTCTCTCCAACCTTTCCTAGGCCGACCCCTACCCCGTCTTCCTTCCACTACAGACTGATACACTCTTGAAGTCATTCTGTTTTGGTAATATTTCCTATAAGTGCTGGTAGAAAGTGTAAAATCTTGAACAGTGGATGTTGACAAGTGTTCTCTTTATTGTACCTATGGCACCCCTGCTTTTCAATGGGGTTTGGAAATTAGGATGATTTGATTTCAAAGAGTAAGGAAAAAACGAATTAGGAAAGTACCTTATCATTTTTTTACATTATTGTTCAGTATATAAATTGTGTACAAGCTTGATGTTGGCTGCAGATAATGCTTGCTGATGATCTCAGTGGATATATTATAACAAATATAGATCTTCCCCCATGCTTTAAACTTGAATTTTATAGGTTATTTTATCATTTGTTGTAAGTAGTAGGTTGGTAGACATCAACCTCCCAGGGAGGTACTTCCGTCCTGCCAAGTGAGTGTAAAATAGAAACCTGTAATTGTTTTACATGATGGTAGGATTTCTGGTGTCGTCTTCTTTTTTTTGTCTCATAAACATGCAAGATTTTGGGTATATCTTGCTACTTCTAATTACACTTGGGTCACACTACACATGCATGTACAAGCATATATATATATACAAACACACCCTTCTGGGCTTTTTTCTATTTTCTTACTAGTTCTTGTTTATTTCCTTCTATCTCCATGGGGAAGTGGAACAGAATTCTTGCTCCATAAGTCATGCGTGTCATAAGAGGCGACTAAAATGCCGGGAGCAAGGGGCTAGTAACCCCTCCTGTATACATTACTAAAGTTAAAAAGAGAAACTTTTGTTTTTCTCTTTGGCTCACCCTGCTTCGGTGGGATACGGCCAGTTTGTTGGAAGAGGAAGGTATCATTTGTTATTGTATCAGAAACACTGGCTTCACAATAAATGGAATCTGCCTAAAATGACTAGTAGTCTTACTGATTGAAGTATACAAGTGAAAGTCAGGTATAAATGAAGGAGATATAAGTAAGAGTGCTGAGGATATCTAGCCAAGAAAGAACTTGCAACAGTGATGAATGGAAAAATCAGCCAATTTATTATGAAAGATAACACCTTGGACAAATATACGAGTAAGAAGGATCTGCCTAGCCTGGGTCAGTAGGCCTACTATAGTGCTTCTCTATTTTTATGTTAAGTTCTTCAGTGCAGGAATTATAGTTTACAGATTTGGGCTTAAAATGGTGATATACATTCAGGTTTGTATGGTATACAGTTATACTGCAGTTAATGGTAAGTAGTGCATATTATTATTATTTTTTTTTTTTTTTTTTTTTTTTTTTTTTGTGGTGGTGGTGGGCTCTCTTAGTTTTGCTATATATTTTAAGCTGAAAATTCAGCCTATAATATTTCATAATTACATGCTTTGACTCTATAATACTGTATTTTGAAGATTCCATAAAAACAGGGCCACCCTCGTGAAAGAGGTTAGTTCTTAAGTAAAGGAAAGAAAGTGTCTGAGATATGTAAGGTTTTTATTATAATACTTCTTTATTTCTTTAATTTAGCTTCTGTTTACCTATTGTAATGTGGATAGTGCGTACAAAATTCAGGAAAGACTGAATATGTTCAGTAGCACCAAGCAAAAATGAATATGCAAATACAACACCACAATATAAATTATTATTTTTTTATGATTATTATTATATTCTTGGGGAAATACTAAACCCATAAGGGTTATACAGTGTCTAGGGTATTGGGAGTGCTGGTGAAGGGCTTTTGGTCCAAGGAATTGAAGCTGCCCTCTTCTTAGCTCAAGCTTGATTGCTGCCCATTCCCTAGGCACTCTGTAACCTCTTTGGGTTTCGTGCTTCCACTTGATTATAAATAATAATTTTAATAATATACTGTATCAGCTTTTATAATGCAATGCCTTTAAAACAGATTGCTTGGTATCTCTGCCTAATGTGGTGTTTTACTGTATTTCAAGATCTGTTACTTCACTTCGAGTGTTAGAAAAAGGCATATACTGTACTGTACTGTAATAATAAAGCTTTATTGTACGCTGTAAATGTGCGTATGGTAGGGCCCAAACTTACAATGTTAATGCATTCCAGAAACTTCATTGTAAGTCGATTGTTCTGTACGTATGTACTTGAAACACATTTTCCCATAAGAAATATTGTAAAGTGAATTAATGTGTTCCCAAGCCATAATATTTCGGATCTAATTTCAATTAATATTTTTTAAAGAATTTGTATCCACTATTTTACATTTAGTATTGTTTCATTTCACTGACAAATAGAGGATGAGAGATAGTTTGTGAGAGTGTGGATGGGTGTGAGGGTTGGTGCTGAGGAAGTAAGTCACTTTGTCTGACTTTTGTGGGTTTTCCTAGTTCTCTACACATGCTGCTGTGTATGAAAATCTACATAACTATATTTGTGTATACCCGAATAAACTTACTCGCTTATTTACTTAGTAGGTAGTGGGGGTGAGTAGGTGAGGGTGGATGTGTTGCATGAGGAAGGATGTTGTCATTGTGTAGTGTTTATCTCGATGCAAATGTTTACCGAAAATGTCCATGACAGAGCCAGAAAGACCACTGAGCCAACCCACCCACCCCCCACCTCACCAACCTCCACCAGTCATCCCCCACACCAACCACAATGTAAATAGTATTGAATCTTTTGGTCTTAACCAGTCTTTAACAAACAAACATAAGTACTTTATACATGCATAAAATGAACATAAACAAAGTCTGAGAAAACTATATAATTAATTCATCTTTAAGAAAATAATAAATATATGTAGTTACCCCTGTTGAAAGAGCTAGTCAGAATTCATAAGTAATTGATTGGTTCCAAAGTGCTAGTGTCACAAGTGCGAACCTCGTAAGTCGAGACCCTACTATATAATGTATATTAAATGTGTAAAAGGAGCATGGCAGTGTGTAGTCTCTCGTGGCACATCACCACTCTAATGTCAACACTATTAATACTGGTGGGGAGGGAAGTATTACTTTGGAAAGAGATTTTTTGTAAAACAAATTGCATTTTTTCCTTACACATTAATACTGTATCTCAAGTTGTTCAATTATATACTATATATAACTATTATATTCCTTCGTACAACCATGTATCATGTCAAAATAAATTTATTATTATTATTATTATTATTATTATTATAGAAAAATGTCTCACTGTATAAAACTTTGTTTCATGAATGTTTTATCAAGAACACGGCTTTCCTTTTAACAAGGACCTACTGTATTTACAGTAGCAATTTTCTATGATTTGTCATAATTAAACTATTTTTCCAAGTTCTTTATAAACTGTTGAAGGTTTGATTACCTGTTGACAAGAATAAGAATCTCTTGTGTAAATTATATAATTCAAGGTAAAGTTAACTATTAATTTAAAAGTGGTAAATAAATTATGACATAAATATGTTTCTCAGGATAGAATGGCTGAATGAGCTGCCATTGTTAAAAAAAAAAAAAATATTTACTAAGTAGAATATCTAGTAACTGGAATGAGGTTTTAGTGGTGGTGAGGCTGGAGAGGCTGCTGCAGGAGGTCAGCGAGTGCCACTTCTGGGGTGCCATGCGTCTAGCAGCTGCTACCCTCAACAAGCTCTACCCATCAGTGTCACACATCACAACTATTTTGGTGCAGGGGTGTCAGGTGACTGACTGTGGATGCCTTTGTGAATGGGACCTTCTTCTCAGTTTGTATGAATTTCTGCAGGGGATGATGGGAGGGGGACTTTCCTCTGCTAAAACTCTGCTGTTTTTCACACTTGATGCTTCAGTTTAAAATAAACACAGTTTACTTGGCTTTGACAGGTTATTTGCTAAGATGGCTTTTAATAGAAACCTGTTTGCATTAGCTTTTGCAAACTATGTTTATATATAGCTTTGAAATTGAGCACTGAGGCTTATCTGTTACCTTTGGTAAACATTGATTTTACTTGTGAAGTTATGCAAAAAAGTATTTTAAAATAACAGTCGGCTACAATGGAAATATTTCAAATTTTACACTACAGCAAAACA